TAGCATTTATCTTCCTTTCCTCGATGCTGGAAAGTCGAAGACTGCTGGTGCAGTGTTTACACACTGGGCAGGGCTGCCGGCCACCTGGTGCAGCGTCACCCCTGGCAGAGCGTGACTACATCACTCACCCTCCAGCTACGGGCTGGCGGAGGACAAGCCCATGCCTTCTTTCCAAGCGCATTTCACGTCACCAGGTACAAGCAGGGGCAAGGGGTCAATTTGGGACACAGTCAGGACTTCCACTGCCTCCGCACGCTGCTGGTAGGACAGAAGGCAGGGCCCCGCCACTGCCTGCTGTGGCCACCGTGGCCATGCGCCAGCAGCGAGTTCCAGCGCGGGCCTGCGCATGCAGGCAGCTAACTCCTCCCGCCTCCAGTTGTGTCCTCATTTTGATTTGCAAGTCACTTGAGCTTGTCGGCTCAGGGATCTTCCCATTCTGGAGTAAATGAAGTTTTCAAAGGCAAGTCCTCAGAAGCCGAAACCTGACCAGAAGATGGTGCTCAAACCTTGAAGACGTGGCCTCCACACGAAGCCCTCCCTGCTCCTGCCACAGCTGGCTCATCTTCAGCTGGTGCGGTCCCGGGAGCTGTCAGAGCAGGAGAGCTCTTGATCTGCAAGTGGCAGAATGGCACCAAATCTCCCGTTGGCACCAGCTGAAGCCCTCTGAAAGGGACTGGAGTGGCCCAGCCCAGCGGACAAGGATGCTGGTCTGCCGCGATGGTTGGGGGTTGCGGCGTCATCAGAATTTCTGCTCACCGAAAAATAACTGAATTGCCGAGGGCCCGTGGGGGAAAGTGATTTTTTTTTTAAGAAGCCTTGTGATGAAAGAAAGCTGTAAGTTTTTAAACCAAGTTTCAGATCCTTTCAAGTACCGAGAACTCCTTGCTCGGGTTTCCGTCGGAGCCCCCGATGGTGGCAGGGCACGCTTTCCTTCAGGATCGCGGGCCCCGCAGCTCGCTCGCTGTGCGGGGCGCACAGAGAGAGGTGGGCGCTCTCGTGGATGCGCGCTCACCTACCCCGTGGCGCACGCGGCAGGAGGCACGGACGCTGTGCTGCCTCCGGTCAGGAATGAGGAAAGGTGCGTCCTGAACTTAGCCTTTGCTCTGAGTGGACCTCCGCAAGGGGCTGCCTTGGTGGCAATTTTGTAGTGTCACTCCCTAGAGATGCCCAAGCGTGGACTTTATTGTAGGAAGACTTTTCCTAGCTCTGCTTGGCCATTTTGTTCTTTCCTCCCACTGCTGCCTGAGAGACCTTCTGAATGTCTGCCACAGAGGACATTGTCATCGTGCTCTCCTCGGTCCCCCTCACTTGCTTTCTCATGGCAGAGGTGTCTCTGCCTCGTTGCCATGGGTGCGTCCTTCCTGGTGGCCTCCAGGCTGAACCCTGGGGGCATTTGTGGTGGTGTGGAGGAGCCTGTGGGCTCCTTGGAACCCCTGCTCGAATATGTCCATTGGGACCCCAGACTTTCTGTGCTCCCAGAGCTCATGAAGCAGCTGGTGAGGAGAGATAGGCAGTCAGATTCCAAGCTGGAGTCTAAATCTGTGGGAGTAATGGGGATCGCTTAGGGAACAGGATTTGCCATCCCAGGTAAGTGAGGCGACAGGTAGGAGATGGAAGAGCAGGGGTTGCCAGAGGAACATGGGACTGTCCCAAGGACATGACAGCACCTGGCCACAGGGGCAGTAGAGGGGTGGAGGCAAAGGCAAAGCTCCTGCTTCTGTAATAAAGCCTGTCTCTTCTATCTCAGAAGCTTTGTGTTTAGAAAACGTGGAGCCCAGCAAGTACCAAGGACTGCGCTGTGAATCCTGGGTTCCCCTGGTGATCCAAGGCTTCTCTGTGGAAGCGCTCTGACTCTCCCCTCTCTCCGACCACCGGCATCAGCCTCATCCCTCAGGGAAGAGCTCTGATGGTCAGGTGCTGAGGGACAAAACGGGGTCTAGTCTGACAGGTGAATGGGGGGGAAGGTCCCCTTCTCTCCTGGTTTAAGTAAGTCAGTGATACTCTCAGAATCAAGAAGAAAGATGAGATGGACCCTAAGAGGTTCTCACCCCAGGTGATGTCACGGTCACCACAGGCTGATGACATATTAATGAAATGGGAGGGCTGTGCCTTTAAATCTCATGTGCCCGAGATCTTTGAATTGCCTAAGGGATGGAAGAAACTGCTAACCTCACATAGAACGGTTCTAGGGGATAAGAAGTGTTTGTATTAAATCGGGGCTAGAAAGCGGGACAATGATGGAGAAATGGCTGAGATGCTTTAATTATTTCTCCCAAAGAAAGAACAGCAGCCTCAGCCCCCTCCACTTGGTCCAGTATTTCCCAGGGACCCTTGGGAGGTAGGGAAAAAATGGGAGTAACAGTAAGATTTGGGGTTGAAGAAGGTATCAGAGGCAAACTGATAAGATTGTTTTGTTGCCATGGAAAACCTTGGGGTTGTAGGACTTGGGCCAGAAGCTCAAAACACAGCCAGAGCTCAGAAGCTTCCTGCATGTACAGCTGTGCCTATAAGGACGAGAGAAGCTGCCTGTGCTCTGGGATCACGCTGTTGAGAAAAATGATCCCCTGGACTAATTCACATTGTGTCCAAATCATGGAAATGTTCGTCGTTTCTCTTCCCAAGGCCAGCCACACCTCCCACGACGGTCAGGACAACCAGCCAGCACCTGATGCTGTGTAAATTAAATTACGAACCATTATTTTCATTTAACTTTTGCACTATTCTATATAAATAAAATACGTACTTTGAAAAAATTGTGCTGCATGAGCTTCAAACAGACTGTAATGAGACCTGTTTCCTCTTTGGTTCTGGCCAGGGGCACAACCTTGACCAGGGATTCGTAGGGGCTCTTGTACCTTCAGGCCAGGCCAGCATGGAGGGTGGAGGGGATGCTGTCCTGTCAGGGGGAAGCTCTTCCTGAGAGCCCGCTTGCCCCAGGAGCAAGTGTGATGTGGTGTGTCGGAGGCGGGCGTGGGTGTGCAGCCTGGGCTATCCGCGCTGTGCCACTTGCTGACTGCGTGGCCTTGGGGGAGACACCCTCCAGCCCCCTCCTCGCAGCTGCCATCTGTAATGGGGGACAGTGCCGCACAGAATGGTACGGGGAATTCCAAGGCTGGCTTCAATGAACTTAGTGTTGAGACTGTAATTGTTGGCTAAGTCTTTCATGTGGCGGTCAGCCATTCCCCGAGATTGCTGGTGCTGAGTGGTGTCCATTTCTGCACCTTCGCGTTTCTCTTCTCCCTCCCTCCCTCTTCCTCCCCCTCCCTCCCCCTCCCTCTCTCTCTCGCTCTCTCTTGCTCTCTCTCGCTCTCTCTCGCTCTCTCTCTGAACCCTCGGGGGACCTTATAACACCCACCACTTTTCATTTATCTCTGGCATCTCAACTGCCCCAGAGCACAAAGTGTTGAGCAGATGAGTATAACATAAGCAGAAACCTTTTGTGGTAAATAGCTGAAAACGTCACGTTGCTGGCAGCCAAGGAGGCAACAGAGAGGCAGCCCACGGGTGGGATGCACATCATTTCTACAGGAAGAATCTGCGTGAAAGACAAGGGGAGGCACGTCCCCGCTATTCTGTCTGCTAGTCCTCTAAGGTCGGGTCAGCCCTGAAGCCAGGGCAAGCAGGGGTGAGGCGGCTCTGTGCTCGAGTCTCCCAGGACCGCCCTGGAGTGGCACGAGTGGACCCTTGTCCAGAGCCCACAGGGCCTTTATGAAGGAGTACCCCTGCCTACGCGGTGTCTGGAGACAGGCTGGAGCACTCCATTGTATTGGGAGCAATAACCCTTACAGTGTCCTAGGCAGCCTTGGATAATTGTAACACACCGCAGGGCTCCAGCCATGAAGGTGAAAGTGTGAAGAGGTGGGAAGTGGGCCGAGTGATCCCTTGGCAGTCCCATTATCCCTGGGCCTGGGGGGCTGCTGTAGGAGGCTAGATGGCGCAGGGGGAAGGGCATGGACTAACTAGATGGATGACCTTGGCCAAGGCCTTCCTGAACTCCTAACGGCATATAGATGCTTTGGAAATGATGTCTGTTACTGTTTCCAGCACTTGTAAAGAGCCTGGGGGGAGAGGGCAGAGAAGGGCAAGAAGGAGTAGGCCCAACATATCCCTAAGTTGGAGGGCCTGGAATAGAGTGCCGGGGTGCCCGAGACCAAGGTAAGACTCACCTCTCTGAGCTGTACTACAGTAGTCCCAGGGCCCCTGTCCCAGACCCAAGTGAACGTGGCGGGGGTGGGGGGGCGGACAAGAGGGGGACCGGACGTCCCGGCTTGGAGTGGCACAGCTGAGGGGTCTATTCTGAGTACAGGGGCAGCCTCTGAAGGTCAGCTGGGAGCACACGCAGTGAGAACTAGGGAGTGGAAACACGGAGTACATAATGGTGTCTGGCCTTCCCACCCTGCCTCTGGAGTGTTCTCTTCAGTGTTCATCTTACCTTCCATGTGTGCCTGGGGACGTGTCTGGGTGAAAAGAGAAAGGTAGCTTCTGGCTGCCTCCATGTGAACTTGTCCCAGACTAAGGGGCCTCGCCCTTCATTGGGAAATAGCCCAGAACTCAGGGCTTCACTAGAAGAGAGGGTCTAGGTTCATTGCTCCTTGTGAGCATTCTTGAGGCTTAATTCTTGTGCATCTGTCCCACCTTCTGCCCTGTCACCCGGCGCTACCAGAGCTTAGGCCCCATGCCCACTAAGACACTTGTGTCTGCTCTGCACACTTGATGCACCAGACAGCACGCTCAGGTGCTTAGTAGATGTTGCTGCTCGTCTCTCCTGCCCTGACAGCCTTCAGGGAGAAACCAACTTCCCCATGTCACCCCTGCCAGCGAGGCTGTTCCCCAGGCTACCTGTGGGCTGCTCTATCAGAACATCCCCCTTTCTTTGTCCTCCGAGGAGAGACTAGCAGAAGGTGGAGAGCAGCTAGCCAGGCCCAGAGCTCCCCAGCTGCTGATCAAACACCACTCCTGCTCACCCTTCCTGCACGGGTTCCCCCAGCGTAGGCCAGAAACAGCTGATCAAACACACCAGGACAAGGTCAGTCCAGGGACCCACAGTCCCCTCCAGGGGAGATTTCATAGACCTGCCATCAGGACGGTCTGATAAAAATGGGCAGGGGGTGGGGAAGGGGGCCCACGGGGCTGGCACAGGACCAAACAGCTTTTCATTCCTTTTAAGGTTGAGACCTCTACACTCCACACAGGGTCCAGAGCAAAGCCAGCACGTGCAGAGGCCATGGCTAGCCCTGCCTGTGAGCCCGGGGACCTGAGGTAAAATAAGGAACAGGGTAGCCGTGCACACACGCATGACGGGGTGAGCGATGTCAGGCAGGAGCCAGTGTGGGTTTGGGAGCATAGGATTATTAGATTGTCACAGGGTGACTTAAGATCCTCCTTCACTAAACTGTGACCCCTTCAAGGGCAAGTGCTGTGCGTCATCCTGTTAACACACACACACAGTGAGCCGGGCACATCAGGTTCTGATTGCCCAGGTCTGTTGTCCCTGAAGTTCTGGAGTCTCTGAGGTCCTGTTGTGTGCCCAGTCCCGTGCTAGATGCTGTAGAGGTTGGGTTGTGCTGGGCTGAGATGGGTGTGGTTCCTGCTCCCAGGGACTGATCATCTTGTTGGCCAGGCAAAGATTATTTATGAGAAATAAGAACGAAAAACATCCATGCAGGTCCAGACCAAGACCTGAAGTACCTATAAATGCTGTGTTTCTTGCTCGCTTGCTCTTTCTTTCTTTTTTTTTTTTTTTTGGTGTCTTTTTCATCGGGATGGTTAATATTTTTTAGAAATAGTCTCATAATAAGTCATGTCTGTTAGGTGCTTAGTGTATGTTGCACATGGGCAGAGATCCTTGTGTAGTTCTTCCTTCACCGGCACCGTGATGCAGCTGCAGTTCTCCTGGGTTACAGACGAGGAGACCCACAGCAGGGAAGTCACGTGACGAGTGACAGAGCCAGGGAGCCGCGATTTGAACACGAGCAGTCTGACTCCAGAGCTTGCTCTTAAACACCGTGCTGCATCCCAGCAGTTCTTGCTTAATACCTAGTCAGCTAGAAAAGATCTAGTCAACGGTGGTTCCCAGTCCTTAGCAGCCGGGTCTGTCATGCCTGGACTGTTGTCACAGGACCTAGCAAGGCTCCCTGTCTGCTCTGTCCTTGCCTTTCCCCTCCTGGCCTGAGATGGCCAGTCAGACCTAAACCTCTGCTTCTATCTGCTAGAGATGTGGTATCCTGGAGCAACAAGTCACGTCCTTTTGCTTTGGCTTCGGGACCAGATGGTTTGTTCACCAGTCCTCAGTCCAGACTCTGCCCTGGAGAGCAGAAGGAGGGCCGCCGGAGCTGCCCAAGCCCCCGCAGGGCCAGCGGAGGCCCACAGAGCCTGGCGCGGGTGTGCGAGGGTGGGTCCTCCACGCACACAGCTCTGGAAAGCATCTTGGCCTCTCTGACTTCCCCACCTTCCCCCAATCCTGGCCTCCTAGAAGGAAAATGTTTTCCAGACAGCAGCCACGTCATTGGAGAGGATCCGATTAGAAGCCAAGATGAAATGCAGTGGTTCAGAGCCACCCTTTCGAGGTATTCAGATCCGAATTCAAATCCCTGCCTCGTCCCTTGTTAGATGTGTGACTTTGGGTGCATTAAGCTTCTCTTTACCTTGATTCTTTTTTTGTCTGTAAATGGAGGTTATAAAAACTCTCACAGTAATTGTGGAGATTAAAGGTAATGCATATAAGACGTTGGTATAGGTCATGGCATGTAGCAAGTGCTCAATAGAAAATACCACTCACGCCAAAAGGGGGCCCAGAGCTCTGGGGTGGTCCCTGCCCCAGTGCAGAGACCCCATGGGTACCTCTGAAGCTCAGATCAGGGAGGTTTCTGGGTGGGGAGGCAGATGAAAAACAGGCCAAGCTGGACAGAGTCCTAGGAGAGCAGGACCTCCTCAGCCGCCTCTCTGTGCCCCATTTCCCTGGCAAAACCAGGGGTAGCGCTGGGGTTGGAGGATGCTGAGGAGCCGGGCTCCTTAGACTGCATCCTACCGCACCGCAGCACCACCTAGAGCAAAGTCCTGTAGCCCAAGGCGCGTGCCACAGATGCAGGCCGCCTTCTTGGATCCGACCACACCCTGAGGTCCTGGCCGTGTGGCCCCAGTGGAGTTGGCGTCTTGTTGTGGCATCAGCAGAACAGATTGTCTTGGTCCATCTGGTGCCTCCATTTCTGCTCCAACCTGGGGTGCTGGCTCAGAGCAGGAGGGCTCTCAGGCAGGCGGAGCACAGAGGAGACAAGGTCACAAACACTTGGCCCAGCTTGGCCTCCCTCTTTTTAGTACAGCAACGGTAATCCCACAATGCCTACTTATTCTTGGGCTATTTTCAAGTCATTACTGAGCCTCACAGCAACATGGAAGTTTAGGTACCTTCATTATTACCCCTTTTACAGTGAAGGAATTCAGAGGCAGCCGCCCCTGTGGACATAAGGGTCCTCAGGTAGTGAGAGGAAGTAGTGCAGTCCAATTGTCTGACACCAGCTGTAGGCTTTTCCCATTCTACCATGCTATCCTTTTATCACCATGGTCCTCATATTTCAGAGCATTTTGAATCATTTACTCGCTTGACTCTGGCAGCAGTGCTCTGAGGCTAAAAGAACATGAATTATTATTTTGCCAATGAAGAAATTGAGGTTCCAGGAGGCGACATCACTTGGTCACCCAGTAAGTCGGTAGCAGAACTGCAATCAGAGCAGCTGGACCCAGCATTATATCCACTTTGCAAGAAAAAGCACTACTGAGGCCTGGTGAGTAAGGGGACACGGGGCTCAGCCAGAGTCCTCGTGGCAGGGGTGGGCCGAGCCCTCCGGTTTGTTGGCCTCAGCCTCGGGCCAGGCTGGGTGCATCATCCCCGATGCAGGTATCACATCTCCGTCCGGGTGGTCAGACGAGTGCTGCCCGGTCCCAGTAGGATTCTCTGTGGTGAGGGAAATGCTCTGTTCTGCACTGTCTGGTGTAGGAATCACTAGTCAGATACGGCTTAGAGCACCTGGAATGTGGCTAGTGTGCCTGAGAAACCGAATTTTAAATTTTAATTTAAATAGTCACCTGTGGCTAATGGCTATCATGCTGGGTGAGAGTCCTACGGGGAGTGGCCGAACCCAGATTCAGGCCCAACCCTGTCAGTCCCCAAAGCCTGTGACGTTTCCACGGGTGCCCGGTGCCATGGGGCGATAGGCACTTGAGCGGTAAACGGCGGCTGCGAGGTCGAGAGTGCCTGCTCTCATTCACTAGGGCTAGCCCTTGCGTGATGCCCCTGCGGTGAGCACCAGCCCCGTCCTGTGCCTCCTCCGTCTTCATCCTCATCGTCATCCACACCAGGGGCTCCACCTCCACTATGGATGCTGAGACTCTACAGTGACATTCCTTTTAGCCCATTTTACGGGTGAGTACATCAGAGCTCAACAGGGTTGAGGAACTTGTCCAAGATGACCCAGCATTTGCTAGAAGGGTCTCACTGGTAAAATACCTAGTTCTTGCTCCTCTTTGTCACCAGCTCCAGACCAGAGCTCACCTGAAACAAGGTGCCACAGGGCAGCCAGGTAACCCTCTCCCTTCCGCATCTTTGAGAGGACACCATTACACCGAGCGTGCTGCCCTGGGGGCCGATCTTGTCCACACAGAGTGAGCGGCCGGGGCCCATCGTGCGCCCGGGGCAGGCTCACCCTCTGTGTCTGTGGCATTCTGATGACTATGTACTAGGAGGTACTTGCCTCAATTAAGCACTTTTTTTTTTAAAGCATACCATAAATTTACATGCGACTTTTGTTTATCTTGGAACTAACAAGATTTGTGGCAACGCAACAGCACGTTTGTAACGGAAGCCTTGGGAAAGCTAAATGCGTTGTCACCCACGAGCCGCGCGTGACATTGGACGAGTCTCTCCAGCAGCCCCCGCCCAGTGACTGGACAACCTCTAAGGGCCCCTCTCCAGTGGTCTGGGATCCCCTACATAGCCCTGGTCGTGGAGAAGTCAGGGTTCTGGGCCCGGCTCTGCCACTGTCACGTGGTGCGACTTGTCGCTGAGCCTCGGTTTCCTCGTCAGCGGTGGCGATGGCCCTGCAGAGAGCTGCACGCACTGAGCCCAGCCCGGGGCTGCCGCCCGGTAGGCATGCAGTGAGGGCCCTCGGCAGCGCAGCACCCCAGCTGTACCTCAAGTGGGAGCGGAAACACGTCCTCTTTGGGCCAAAATGCTGGCCCAGGAGGAGAGGGGGACATAGGGACAGTGGCTCTGCCCTCCCAGCGAGTCCCAGTCTGAAGCAAGCCTAGAGCTCACGGTAGCCCCACAGCCCGGGAGTCAGAGGGTCAGATGCCAACCTGAGTGTTCTGGCTTCGGGCAGGCCGCTTGGCCTCGCTGAGCCCTCTTTTCCTTCCCTGTGAAATGGGGAGGGGGACAGTCCTTGCCTCTCCCTCAGGATTATAAATTAACACGTGGTGCCAGGCACAGAGGGGACTCAGTGAGTGGTTATTCCTCGCTTCCCTGGGCCTGACCCTAGAAAGGGCGGCTGTTGCAGGGGGAGGCTCTGCTTTGCAGTGTGGACTGTGGCGGCCGCAGGGCAACAGCGAGGAGGGAGTCCGGGCTTGCTCTACCCTGACTGCTGACGCTGTGCCCTCAGCACTAACAGGGAGAGTCAAGGCCTGAGGCCCGGTGTTTCTGTGCCCCGAGTCATCCAGGTGAGGCCTACCTGGCCGGTGAGCAAGCCCAGAACCCTGGCTTTGTGGGGGCGCCCTCACCCTCCACTTGGCAGGCCTGAGGAGATAGGATCCTCCAGATACCATGAGCTGCCCCCTATTTCCTGGTCAGAAGCTTCCCCACAAGCCTTCCTAGGGGCTCAGACCCAGGCTGGCAGGGGGACGTGAAAGGGCTTCAGGGTCCCCGGCATGGGGCCGCATGTACCCCAGCCAAGCACGTGTACACAGGGCCAAACTTAGCTCCTGGCCTTCCTCTTCCCCCAACCCAGCCACGTCCTCTGCCAGACTTTTCCCACCTACCTTCTCTGCGTCCTTCAAGGCCCATCCCAAATATCGCCCACTCCAGAAAGTTGCCCCCAGTCTCGCCAGCCAAAGTGTCTTCTGGACTTCTCTTGTGTTACGTTGTGTGACCTACAATACTGAGCATGTGGTAATCTCTGGGGTTTTTTGTGTTTTTTTTTTTTTTTTTTTTGCCTTTTTTTGTGGTAAAATATACATAACAAAAAAATTTTCCATTTTAGCCATTTTTAAGTGTAAATTTCCATGGCATTGAGTACATTCACACTATTGTCCAACCATCACCACCATCCATCTCCAGAACTTTCTCATCATTTCATATCGAAACTCTACCCACTAAACATGTTCATCACCCCTGAAAGAAGCCCCAAATCTGTTAGTATCACTCCCACTGCCCCCCTTCTCCCAGGCCCTGGAAACCACTCTACTCCCCCTCTCTATGAATCCATCTGGGTTCCTCACAGAAGTGGGATTATACGGTATTTGTCTGTGTTCATGTCTTAACCCTCCACAGAGCCCTGGGTCTCTGGTGAGTGACTGAGTACAAAAGGCACATGAAAAGGCCAAAGAACAAAGATCATGCCATGCCTAAGGCTTCCCGGGTCAGGCATGGCCCCTGCCACACCCCTCCCACATCCCCAGACCAGAATTCATTCATTCATTCACTCGACAGGTATCGATCTAGCACTTACTAAGGGCTAGACCATGTTCTGGGCTCTAGAGACACCACAGTGAATGGAACAGAATAAGATCCCTGCTCTCATATTTTAGTATGGGAGACAGACCATAAGTAAAGTATGTAGGATGCTAGATAATGCGGAGTGTCAAGGAGAACATTGGCAATGTCGTAATTATGTAGTTTCAGGTGAGGTGACCAGGAAAGGCCTCGCTTAGCAAATGACTTCAGCAAAGACCTGATGGCTTAAGGGATTGACTGTGTGAGTGTCCAGGGGAGTGACCCTCACCCCCTCAGCAGAGAGAACAACCAGTGCAAGGGCCCTGAGGCAGGAGTACACATGGCCTGCTTGAGGAATACTGAAGAGGCCATGTGGCCAGAGCAGAGTGGGCAAGGGAGAGAGTAGTGGGAGAGGAAGCTAGGGGAAAAAAATCAGGGCCCAGAGGATGTAGGACCTTTGAGGTCACATTAAGGATCCAGCCACTGGCAGATTTTAGGTGTGGTGCTACAGCTATGCGTAGAGAATAAATATGGGGAGAAGGGTGAATCCTAGGGGATTAGTTAAGGGCTATTATCATACCTCATCACAGCAGAATTGCTCGAAATTTTAAAATGAAAATGAGACTGTGACCAAAGTCAGTTTCTGAGTGGCTCATTTGTTAGCCAAACAAGGGAAAGGGATGATGGCTTGTACTGGGGTGGTGGTGAGGAGTGGTCAGATGCTGAAAGTAGAGCCAATAGAATCTGCTGATGGACTGGATGTGGGATCCGAGGGGAAGACAGAGGAGCCAAGGGTGATTCCCAAGATTTTTGGTGTGAAATTAGCTATGTGCTTTGATGGGGAGAGCCACAGGAAGGCGAGTCTTAGAAGGAAGACAAGGAGTTGACTTTGGGGCTTGCTAGGTTTGAGATGTCTATTAAATGCCCAAGTAGAGGTGTAGGGTAAGCAGTGGAAGTGTGAGTCTACAGTCAAGGGCATTAGAGACCTCTCTGTCCAGCGTTCCTATTTTGTTTTCTGAGGCTCACCTGGCACCTGGCATCACCAGAGCTTTCTAGAGACCTGAGCTGCAGGTTGGACTCCACTTCCTTAGTGTGGGGAAAAGACTGGGCATCAGTATGCTCTTCCTTTGTCCGTCCATCCATCCATCCATCCATCCATCCATCCATCCATCCATCCATCCAACCATCCATGTGTTCATCCATCCATCCATCCATCCATTTATCCACCACGCCCTGCATATCTAACTCTGGTCAGACACAATGTCAGGTGCCAGGTGGGGGAGGGGTGGGCGGGATTCAGGAACGAGTAAGATGTAGCCTCCCCTCAACAGACTCACAATCTGGTTACAAATTCTCTAACCCCCATGCCTCCACATGCATTCTTTGGCCTCAATCTCTCCATCAGTAAAATTAGTTTGGACCAGACAGTCTTTAAGAGCCTCACCAACTGAGACCTCCCGTAAGCCCAGTGAGGCCAGCTTGCCCTTGCCCTCTTCTGAGCTGGGCCCCCACAGTTTGGGCAGAGCTTCCTGCTCCCAGGACACCCATCTGAACAGCACATGTGCCCTGACATCAATGTTGCTCTCTTCATGTTCCATCAAGAAGTGATTAACTGTGATGAAGCAATTAAGGCAACCTAGCAAGGTGGCTTGCAGTCCACAGGACACACAAGTGACTTGGGTTAAGGTTTGCATTCTCCGGCGGATGATAATCGGCTGTTGGAGGGTGAAAATCATACTCTTTACGTGTATAGTACATACACTGATAGACAGTGTATCTGTACTAGAATTTCATAGGGGTGGAGATGAGGGGAGAAAATGTCTTACAAGACTCCATGGGGAGCAATCCTGAAATAAAAGGATAAGAAGCACTAGGTAAGGGAAGGAGAGGAGGGTCAGGGCTTAGAGCACACACTCATTTGACCACACAATAATAGAGGGCTCAGTTCTGGTGCTGGGGACGGAGGGGACCAAGCTAAGTAAGGGACACTGCCCTCAAGGCCATAATCTAGTGAAGGGCAGACAGGAAAATAGGCAATCATTATACCCAACGACAAGAGCCATGCCAGGGGCAGGGGGTAGA